GTTTAATCCTTGCTCTAATGGTGTCCTTGAGGAGACCAATCCTCTTTTTCTTCAGGGGTTCACAATTCTGTTCACTGTCTTCTCTGCAGAGAGTGTCTCATTGTCTTGTAGCAAGTCCAATAAGAAGAGCCCCAATCTTCCTCTGTGAGTTAGGACAGGGATCTCCCTTCCACAGCTCCACTGAACTTCAGAGGGCTCATCACAGTGATGGAGAAGTTCCATGCCCCTGCCCATCTCCAGGCTAGAGAAGGAGGTCAGGGTGGCCATTTTGTACAGAAGCAGCCTTTAGCTCCCAAACAAGTTCCTTCTCCCCTCTCCCAGCTGAGAATGTTTGGATCAAAGGAATGTTTAGCCCTTGTTTTGACCACCCCAGAACTCTTACTCCTGGAGCCATTGTAATACATCTGTTGTTGGCTATAACTGTTCTTTCCCCTTCCTCTCTAATACTGTATGTTGAGATTTTTTCCTAGTGCATGGATAGCTGGAATGATTATAGTAAGAGTGCAGGTTGGGGGAGGGGGAGGACCCATTCTCTGGATAATAACCAACATCTTAGTTCGTAAAATCTTGACTATAAATATGCAAATCTCTATTCAGGGATCAGCTACTATAAGCTCTCTTCTCTGATTGAGTCCTTAAGTCACTATGTTTTTCCAGCGGTTTCTAATGTGAGGGCTTACTGCGTATCAAAAATGAACATGACATAAAAGTCGGGTTGGAGTGGGACTTAATCTATACCATAAGGGAAACTGGGCTACCAAAGGATGATCCATGACTCCTTGCAAATAATGTATTTGTACACATTAGGAGAACAAGAACACACACACACAAATCTCTTCTGTTCAGTGTGTGTGTGAGAGAGAGAGGGGGGGAGTGCAGAACTGCCTCAACCAGTCCTTGAGGAGTCAGGGAAACTAGCCCCTCTCCTTATCTTTTTTTGTCTTTCACTCCTGAGGCTGTAAAGCAATAGAAGCATTTATATCAATAGGATCTCTGGGTAGAGTGTGAAAATAGCACTGACGTTGGAAACTTCTCTCTTGGAGTTTGTGACAGGTAATGCCTAAAAGAAGAGGAGAGTGTTTGGGGAGTAGGAAGAACAGACACAGGTGCTTCTCTATTTAGTCTTTGCTCTGCCTCCACTTGCATTGGGGAGGCACTTGACCAGCGCTCTGCTCATGATGTGTGACCTGAGGGCATACTCCCTAGTCTGAGGATGGAGCTTCCCTTCATCCGTTCTCTTTCCTCTCTGTTAGTTCCTAGGCAGGGCAGCCTGTATGCAGAATGGTGCAGAAGATCCTATCTTTGATCCCATAATATGAGGCAAGTGTGCGCAGTCAGCAGCTCCCTTCTCTCTCCTCTAGTCCAAAGGGGAATTCTTTTCAGTAGCCACAGTGTCAGGGAACTGCCATCGGAGCTAGAGGTGGAGGGAAGGCTCCAAAGGGATGCAGGAGAGGGTCCCAGTAGGGAGAGAGGCAGCCCATCTGCTGGGGAAGGAAATCAGCGTAACACCAGTGGAGAAGGGGGGCAGGTGGGGGAATCGGGGAGGAGGCTCCCAGACTCTTCGCTGGAGACCAGTGGAGAGAGTACGGGTACTCCGCTGCCCACACCCTCCCTGCGCAGAAGACTTCCGCGCAGGGAGAGTAGGAGGAGACTTGGCGTCAAACAGCTTTTATGCTGGAAAAGGTTTAAGAAATGCCCACTGACGGATTCTGCCAGCGACTGAGACAGTCACGATGCTGGAGGCTGCTCAGTCAGAAAGGGTTAACCAGGTAACCTAGCCAGGAGTGGCGGCAACTTACGCACGAGCAACCCCTAAACCCATTACACACAGGTAAGGGGAAAACATGCCCGCCACACCTTGATTTCCCTTTTGCTCCCCAACCCAGCACTTCACACTGGCTGGCAGGTGAAAACATCATTGTGTGCAGACTCAGAGGCACCCTCTGAAGCAAGGTTGGGGCTGCCAATAATCGGCAGTGTGTAGGGGATGCAAGCCCTGGTACAATACCTAAAATGGACACAGTTGTTAGAACTGCCTGCCCTCCTGCTGCCACAGTTCATGATCTAGCCAGTGCAGGGAAGCAACATTTCATTAATTAATCAATTCAGCAACCAGGGGGAGAGCTTGGTTGTTGAGCATCTAGAATTCCCCAAGTTCAATTCCCAGCATTGGGACTGGGAACATTTCCTGTCTGAAACCCTGGAGAGCTGCTGCCAGACAGTGCTGACAATACTGAGGTAGATGGACCAATGGCCTGACTCAGTAGAAAGCAGAGCCCTATGTTCCTAACAAGAAAAGCAACCTCAAATTTCACCTGCACAATGCCAGTGGACGGGCAATGAGATTATATGTCCTGAGGAGTGCTTGGCATTTTGCCCCAGTTTCCAAATCAAAATGTTAATGCCAAGGATGGCACAAACAATGGATTCAACCAACCAGGGAGAAAGGCTGTAACTGCATCCCATTCCTTGTCTCCTATTGCAGCTGTGTTCCTGAGAACAGACACCTAATAAGCTTTATTAGTGCACTTTTCAAGGGGGAAAGCAGCAGTTCAGTTTTACTAATAACCCTGAAGAACCTCTGCCAGTCAGTGTATACAGTACTGAGCTAGATGAACCAATTTTCTGACTCAGTAGAAGGCAGCTTCCTATTCTTACGTACTAAAAAATCAAAGCAATGGTTACGACAGCTGTATTGAAAGAGCCTCCAGCCTTTTGCAGTATATATAACATAAATGTGTTTGCTGTTGTTAACTGTCATTATTGCTGCTATTATTTGCACCCATTTAAGAAGCAAAAAGCCAGACATCTTCTGCAAGGAGCTTATGTTCTATCTAGAATTTGACACGAGGGAGATAACAGAGGATGTGGAGAAAGAGAAAAAGAAAGCAGGGGTAAACTGGGGAAGAAAATGTGCTATTCCTTAGATAAGGAAAACATTGCTTCAGTTCCAGGAATTGCACCTCTGCTTCATTCATGTACTTCAGGAATGAAGCAATATTGTGCTGCCTGTCATTTCAGTGTAAGTACACGGCCTTACATTTTGTGAAGCCACCCTGTTACGAGTGGTCGAATATGGTCCCAATCCTATTTATTCAGAAGTAGACTCGGCTGTGTTCAATTGGACTTCCAAGGATGTGCGCATAGGCTTGCTGCTTCAGTTAATTTGATTTCAATATGCCTAAATTGCATTTGCAATGAGTGTGTATAACTTTTTGTTACCTGCCTCAAGCTCTTGCAATTAGGCACAGCTAATTAGGTCACACTTCTGTCTCTGTAACTGTTACACCTGCCAAGCAGAAAATTTGGCTGGGGGAAATGGGTTTCTAGCTGTTGACCCTTGCAAAGAAACTGTTGCTTTAACACCCCACAGGCAGCAATATATTTATGAGAATATTATGTCCCTTACACTAGTGTTGCAGCCCATTCTCTGGCTCTGTCTCCCACCAACAGGGCGGTACTTGCTATAATCCAGCTAGGATTGAGAGAGGAGCTGGGAAGGAACAGGGGGAGCCTATACCAGAGGCAGTTTTAGGGTAGCCCAACCACTCAGCTATACTGGGTGCTCACACCACAATAATAATGTAGAACAGAGTGCAAGAGATGGGGGGCACTAAATTTTTGTGTCCCAATGAAATTTGAGAACCTAAAGTCTGCCATTGCTACATGGGCAGAGAGCCATTATTTCTGAATAATATCTTGCTCACTACCTAGGAGTTATTCAGTGGGAAGCCCCATTGATCACAAACCGACTCCAGAAAATTAGCAGAGAGGGTTTTGCTCTGGAGGCTCATTTTCCAAAAATGAGAGCCTTAGCCTCTCACCAGCCACCTGTCCCACTTACAGCCAGTCCAGGTTGTGGCACTGCCTAATAGCATCCTCCTCCTCATTAGTCTCATTAGTGCCCTTGTAGAACTCAGCAGGGGAAAGGATGGGGACAAAACTAGAGTTAGTTGGCTTTGCCTGTCATTAGTTTCGGCTCTAGTTACTGTTTGGGGTCCCTGCCAGTCACAATGGGCACCAGCCACCAGTAGAGTTTGGGTGGTACTTTTTTCCTTTCACAAGTAAGATGTATAAGAGTGATAGCAAGTGCAGGGTTTCTGTTGGAATGCTCTGTGCATTTGCAAGCCACCATAACTCTGCGTAAGCCCATGAAATCCACATCACTTGAACTGCGATAAATATTTAGAAATGCAAGCCTTACTAAATTACCACCTAGAATGACTACACGGTATAGCTAGACCAGCAGCTGCCAGAAATAAATCCTGGTGTTAGTCATTCACACTTTCTCCCCCATGCTATGGAATCTGATTACACAGAGCACTTAGCATTGATTTCTGCTTGCCAAGACACAAAGCCCGGGCTTGCCTGCCCCCTACTCATTACCATCTCTCACCACAGAGGAGAGATTCTCAATCTATAGCACGCTGAGGCTTTCCAAAATGAGCACAACAGTGTTCAAGTCCTTCCACTAAGGCTGCTTTCTTTTGGTAATGTAGGAGTGATAAATTCTATATAATAACGTATTTGAAAGAGAAGTGAACAGCTAAATCCTCTCCTTAAAAGACAGGAAGCCTATAGAAATGCACAGTGAATGTAAAAGGTTTCTGTTTTCTTTAAAAAACAATCTTTAGGACTCCCCTATCCCCAGGTTCTATAACAATATATTGCTTGGGAATCTTTATGCAAATCTTAACTTGTAAACAGAGGCGCTGAGATCCACTTCCTACACTCATGTAAAGTTTAGGCATGGATGGGAAATGGGAAATGGGTTGCTATCATGCCTTCTAGAGTGCAAAGCACAGCTTCCAAGTGGGTTTAAGGCTTGTGTGTTGCCATCTGACCTACAATATAACATCTGTATATATAGATAATAGAATTGTAGAGTTGGAAGGGGCCGCATGGGACATCTGGTCCAACCCCCTGCAATGCAGGAATCTCAACTAAAGCATCCATGACAGATGGACCACCCAACCTCTGCTAAAAAACCTCCAAGGGAGGAGAGCCCAACCTCTTGAGGGAGTCCATTCGTTCCACTGTCGAGGAGCTCTTACTGTCAGAAAGTTCTTCCTGATGTTCCATGCAATCATCAAAAAGAAGGGGACAAATTCTGAGTGACAGGGTGAGACATGCCAATCTTTTTCAGGGCCATATATGCTAATCTCCAACTTCTCTCTCCCTTTCCCCCCTTCTTTTAGGAACTAAATGCAACTTCCACCCTCACAAGCAACATGCCTTTGAATACCAAATCCTGCAGACCAGCAACATGGGAAGGCTGTTGCCTTCACACTCCACTTGTGAGCTTCCCAAAGGCATTTGGCTGACCATTGTTGGAAACAGTGGGATGCATGGATTTGCCCCTATACCCATCCTGGATCTCAAATAAGCTAATGATACTAATAAGCTTGGCCAATGGCCAGGGATAGTGGGAGTTGCAACCGCTGCATAGCTTTGGTGGGGAAGCACGAATGCTTCCATACTCCCACTACACCTACAATATAGCATGTAATGCATCTGTATGCACACCTAGCTGGTGTTCAGTTTTTCTAATCTTTTTTCCCAAAAGCCTACAGAACTAATGGCTATCACTACTGTTTGCAGCATTGAAGTTTGCAAGCCAAGGTAAGTTTCTTCTATATGTCCCAGACCTACTGCTAATCAAAACTACTACTATTTCTACGGGTCACCCAGTAATTATTAAATTTGTATACTGCCCTATATCCGCAGGTCTCAGGGCAGTTCACAACATAAAATCACATTATAAGAACACAAAATACATAATAGAAACAACTCAATAATCCCCCTCCTTCCTGTGTAGTGTTGTAAGGTGACAACTTTTCCCAGATCTCCTTATGCCCTTACCATGCCAAGTGCATAGTTTCTCCTAGGTGTGGTAGGAGAATCACCCCATACACAGGCCTATATACAAGGGGAACAGAGCTGCCTGTCGCTGAAAAAAGCACCTTGCATCAATGTTTAAATCATGCGATTTTTCTAGGGTGACTATGCATTCTTCTGAGAGGACCACCCTCTATCTGAAGGGCTGTCTGATCCAACTCTGCTTTAGAGATTAAAAACCAAAAGAAGGGAGAGCAGAAGCAGCTTTGAACCTGCCCACCAGCACGGGTCACCTGGTCCCAGCCTTCCCCACTATGGTCAGTTGTCTTGCGATCCTATGTAACTATGTGAATTATTTCTAAATTTGCATTTGTACATGAACCAATGCAAATTGTATGCAAATTCGTGCCCGCTTTTATCCCCTGCTTTGGTGGTGCATTTACTCTATTTCCCCCCTGTGATGTTCCATCAGGTGCCCTGTGCCTCTCTATATGCTGTGTGATATCTGTGAAGGTTGCAGGCACCTGCATAAGGGTCAGGGTGCTACAGGTAGGCTCTTGCCAATGCCACAATATAGTTGTTGATCTTCAAGTTGCCATAGAACTCTTTTTTGCTACAACCGACTGATGGCTACAGACACGCTCTTCAGGAATTTGCATCAACACTGGAAGACAGCACTTGTAAGGAATAAACATTGCCTTTGGTCTTGTCACATGCAAATCTGTACTCGTCCTAAGCACATGCCACATACTAGGATGTAAGGCTCCAGTCCTGTGCACACTTTCTCGGGAGTGTGAATAGAATGGGAACAAACATGCATAGGCTTGTATTCTGTATCCATTTGAAACCCATTGGACTGACTTCTGAGTACATATGCTTAGGATGTGGGCAGAAAGAGTTGATTCATGATTTTAAGATACCTACAACTTCAGAAAGGTGGTTTTTTTTGGGAGGGGGAAACACCTTGCTTCTCTTGCTCCTTTTCTGGCCTCGTCTCTTTTCAGTCCCTCTCAGTTTCTTTCTTTAAACCACTTCCCTTTACCCCCTTTTCTTAATTTATTCTATGCCTCTGCTTGTACAGTCATGCCTCCAGAGGGAGGTTTGTCTCACACTTCAGATGGAAGCTATTCGAGATTTTAAAGATGTGTACCACTTTAAAAAGAATAATTACAATACTACTGGGTGCCTTCTGATTCCATTAGCCCCCAAGGGCTGGTCTGTGTGTCCTTTCTTAATTGGTTTTTGTTCCTTTGATTTTACAGACACAAATGCAACGTGCCACTGATTATGTAGCGTACGGAATGCACAATGGAAACAGCTATTTGTACGACAGCTATTCGGTTACAGATATTGACAGTGGGTGCATGCAGACAAAAGACACAAAAGCAGTGCAAGCCTACATGCCAGCTGCATGCGTTAGGCTTCCAAACGCCCATGGTTCCCTCCCCCATAAATCGGAAAATTCGTCCTTAGGTAAGGAGAATTCTTACACACAAGGTCTGCATTGTGCTGCTTAATCCTCTGGACAATCCAGATCCGCACTTGAATCTTACCTTCTGGCCAGTCTCTTAATCCAATGGCTCCCCTGGATCCAATCCTTTCCCCTTAACCCACACACGGAACTGCTTCTCTTTCACATTCACAGCATACAAGCAGGGTTTGCTGTCACCCGGTTCTACCGCAGCCTTACCGCCCGATTGGCTTGAAGCAGGCAGTAAATTAAATCAAGCCCCTCCTTATACTTCAGTTATCATGGGAGCATAATGAATTATTTAGTAAAACTACTGGTGGGCAGGCTTGGATATCACACAGCCCTGCTGGAGAGGGCAGGAGAAGGCTTTTCCCGAAAGGCTGCTGCATTGAAGTAGCACCCAGAGACAGATTCAGTGACTCACCCTATCAGCATCCTAGGCAGAGAGGCAGAGAGAGAGGAGAGGATTTGGTTTGAGGGCAGAATTCTCTATCTGTAACCTTTCCTTCCCTGCCAGCACCAAACCTTCATTAGAGATTGTTTCAGAGGAGACCAAATAATGCTTGGGGCTAGGAGACAGGAAATGTTCCCTTCCACATTCGCCATTGGTACTGGATCAAAATAATATGGGTCAGTTCTAGGTTTGGGGCTGTGGTATTCTGCAGTTTTCACAGCTGTGAGCACTGAAATCAGCATTCAAAGTCTCTGCTTTCCTTTAAAAACAAACCCAAACATTTTATGGAATGGGGAGGGGGAGGGAAACAGACAATTTTTGCAAGTAAAGAAATGAACACCCAAAATATAACATCTGGAGCTTGACAGGAAAGATACACAGTCATTACATTTCTGTAGCAGGACTTAGTTTGGACTTAGTTACACAGCACCAACAAGTTTCTAGCTTCTACAATTGAGGGTGTGACATTAAACGTGTGATTGTAGTATTTAACTTGTTTCCCCTGCTAAATAACAGGTGTGTGTGTGTGTGTGTGAGAGAGAGAGAGAGAGAGAAAGAGAGAGAGAGAGAGTAACAGATATGTGAGAGAGGGTGTGTGTGTGTGTGTGTGTGTGTGAGAGAGAGAGAGAGAGAGAGAGAGAGAATTATGATTAGGACTGTGGTGCATACAAAACAAAGTACTTTTCTCTTACGGCACATTGTTAAAACTGTGGAGTTTTCTCCCATATGCTATAGTGTTGGCCCCCTATGTGAATGGGTCTAATTCTCTTTAAAAGATAATTAGACACATTCACAGAGGATGAAGCTATCCAGTGGCGGACTTTGGGCTCTCAAATTTCAGTGGTGCCCTGTATGACGCTAAAATTTGGCACCCCCTGCCTCTTGTGCTCCATTCTACAGCATTGTTGTGGCACCCCCTGCAGCACAGCACCTAACCAGTTGTGCTACCCTAAAACCACCTCTGGGCTACCACTGGCTACTAGCTGTGGATGGATAAGGTTTAACACCACTGTCAGAGGAAGTATGCCCCCGAATGCCAGTTGTTGGGAGCCATATATGACAAAGCTGCTGCTGCACTCAGGTCTTGCTTGTGGGATTCTCTTGAGCATCCTGGCCGGTCACTGTGAAAACAAGATGCTGGATTTTGCCTGATCCAGCAGACCTCTTCTCATGTTCACAGAGTCTTGATAGAAACCACCACTTCAAGCTGCTTTTGTTCCAGCACAGAAGCTTCCATTCAAGCCAAATCGGTACAAAAACCACAATCTCTAATTGTAATGATGGGAAGCTGATATTGTCAATTGTGTGTATTATGCTTTGCGTCATGGTGCAAAAAGTTTATCTAGATACACACCACAGATATTGTTTCACTCTTGTATCTACTTACCTGTATTTTTCTACAATCAAGCAGTATATATAAGCCGTTTCAAGAGTTTAGAGCAGCCATTTCAAGAGTTTGGACTACAATTCGCATCATCCCTGACCACTGGTCCTGTTAGCTAGGGATCATGGGAGTTGTAGGCCAAAACATCTGGAGGGCCGCAGGTTGGGGATGCCTGGTTTAGAGGTTTTACTACAATCAAGCAGGATATATAATTTTTAAAAATGCATAAATAAGCCCTGCTGAACTTAGTCAAACTTCATACCTGGGCATGCATGTGCATAGGATTACAATGAGCCGTCTAAGTAGCAAGTCCTATTCAAATCAATGGGATGCCACATTCTGTCCAGGTATCACCCCATTGCTTGCAAGGCGACATGGTTTGCAAGGCATTTCCTTGAATTGTGTCCCTTGTATTTATGAGATTATGATAACTGCACCACCTCCTCAAGAGCAAGAGGTGATTTTACTGATTCTGTAGTCCTTCCCTGTCCATGGTACTGAAACCTTTTGAACTGTTTGATCTTATTTGCTGTTTCCTCTCTGGAAATTGTTTTCAGTAACTCCAGAGCTGCCCCTGGCAACAACAACAACAACAACAACAACAACAACAACAACAACAATGTAATATCATGTTAAGCTGTTGTTGGTAATATGCTGTTGTTATATGACATTGTTGTTTACAGTCCTTTGTGGTTTTCCCCCAGCAGCCTTGTAAAGTAGGTTGCAAGAGGGAAACTGGCAGCTGAATCTGCTCGGAAAAACATGTGGCACAGCCTTCTTGGGATTGTACCATTTCAGAATAGGGATGTGGGGTTGTATCTTTGAAAGCTCCCTACCTTGCCCCACCCCCTAGTAAAGAATTTAATATATAGGTGATTTTTTGATTTGCCATTTTTTGTCAAGGGAACATCTGCCCAACTTCCCTTTAAAAAATGAGATAAAATGAGAACTTCTAGAGCAGTGAAACTAGGGTGCAAACACTGAGCAAATGTCCCAGAAAACCAAAACAAATCAACATTCTTTTCTCAGACTTTGTTTTCCTTTTTTGTATTCAGCTATGGTCTTACCAGAGGACAAACACGTGTCTAAAGACAAAAAAGGTCTCTTGCTGCAGGCTGTTTTCCCTTTCCAATTAAGAGGTCATGACGACTATGCTTGTTATCATGGTTACTTCATAGCTGTGCTAATAAGAATCCTAGAGGCCCTAATCAGCATCCAGGCTCCATTGTGTTAGACGGAACAAAAACAGGCATAAGTACAAAAGGAGGCCTAATCTATTGCTGATTATGCAACAGGGGATTACTGAAAATTTAACAAGGATATCAGCATGATGTGCAGATCAAGAGAAGACAGACAGGACAAAAGGGAAATTCCATCTGATTGGTTATGGGTATGATAGGTGCACATTTTATGGACTATATATGGGACTTGAAAGGATCCATCTCACTTGATTCTTGGGCTACTGGAACAAATTCACTGAATATCTATGGATTTAAGTCCATTTATTTCAAGGAGCTACTTTGAGTATGACGAATGTTGGCTATCCACCCATTATCATTATTCTCCAGTAGTTGTACATACATAAGCAGAGGCATACTGGATCAGAGCAAAGGCCACATCTCATTCTCGAAAATAAATGAAATCTCTCCCAAATTCACATCATGTGAATAGTGGTTGAAAATGTTGGGAAGTTGTTTACACTCAACCCTAATATTAGACAGAACTATGCTAAAACCCGTCTTCCTCACATCTATTTTTCTATGTTCAAGGAGCTTTTGTTGATTGGAGGAGCATTCAGCCATATGACCTCTTCTCCCTTAAATCTCAAGTGGTACAACTGAGACACAAGTTTATCATCTCACCTATTTGTTCATTGCTTGTTTTTCGGAACTAGGTCAAAGATAATACCAGTCCAGCCAGCCAGCCAGCCAGCTCATACTGAAGACAAGCTCTCTCCACTGTGACACTGATAGGAACCCTTATCTCCTTAGGCTCATCTGCAGTCTCATACTATGCGCCCTTTGGTTGGTTGCCAGGCAACTATTTAAGAAAAACCACCACATTATTTTTGCAAGGGATCTTCCAGTACAGACTGCTTTGGAAGTCAGTCTCTTACTGTTACATTTGAACACACACAAGATCGAGATAGGCACATCTCATTAATGAATTGCTGCCTATCAGTATCAATGGCGGAATTGCTCAGGTCTCGGTCATGAATGCCAGGACATGCTAGCTGTTGCTAGTACTACTGATGGACTGATTAACATTTGTCTACTCTTGAGTGGTTTGAAGCTATGATAATCCTTTCTTTAGTGATCTTAACTAAATAATTATTTACCTTTTAATGCTTTGGGTTTTGTATTCTACAAAAACATCTCAAAAGTACACTATGTAAACATTAATTATACATAATTATAAATAAATGCATGTTAAATCATTAATCAGGGCTCTTAATGGTACAAGATGATGCTTTTTATTTATATCCACATTACATTGTTGTTTTGTATAATAAAAAAAATGGCACCCAAAATGGCACCACAAGATTTGCCACATATCTGCCTCTAGAGCATTTAGAAGCAGCCCAATCCATTTGGAATCTACTTTGGGTTATTCTAATTAGATTATTTATTTGAGTCCTAATGTAATTCCTTTTTTGGGGGGGTGCAGAAGGGGTAGATTCTGCTGTTCTTCTTACTTTGGAAAGATAAAGTCAGAAGAGGGTCTTAACTGAGGAGCCATTTCATGCATTCTGAAGTTGCTACAAGGAAATGTCTCTCATCTATGATGATACACACACATCTATTTACTGAATTTCCATTTGTTGGGATGCTGTGGTCAACAGCAACTTTCTAGCATGTGTCCACAGAGCAAAAGGTTCATTAACACACGCTTGGCATGCCTTTTATTTGTATGGATGCATTTGCTTGCTTGCTTGCTTGCTTGTTTTGTATTTATGTACAGTGGTACCTTGTTTAAAAACAGTCCTGTTTGTGAACTATTCGGTATAAGAACTCTGCAAAACTGGAAGTAGTTAGCTCGGTCTACGAATGGAGGCCGATCAGTGGAAGGGCACCGGCAGCGGGAGACCTCATTAGGGAAAGCACGCCTCGGTTTAAGAATGGCTTTGGTTTAAGAACAGACTTCCGGAACGGATTAAGTTCGCAAACTGAGTTACCACTGTATTGTGTTTGCTGTAATTGGTTTTAGTATTTCTTTTGCAAGTCACTCTTGAGTCATTTTTATGACCAAAGCAATAATCATCATAATAATGAGCTGTGTGCTTTCAGTCAAGGAACAACCCTTAATGGGTTCCCAGAGACTGCAGAATTATAGGACTGTGCAGAAAAAAAGTGTGTGTAAGGATACATATACATCTTTCTCTTCCCTTTTTGTAATATGCATTCACCTTTCCTGCTCATCAGACACATTTCTGGATACAGTATTCTAGTCTGAACTGAATACTTAGTGTTGCTGCTGCACCAGGCACCTGTCACTCCGTTCAGATTGATGGATGCAACCTAGCAGCAGGAGAGCCAGTAGAAAAGAGTCATGTCTTAGCTTTGAGCTCAGGAAGGCTGCAAACAATAGGAAGCAATCCCAGTGTGTGTAGAACCTCTAATTAAACGGAGTTTGCAAAGTTCATGCATAATTAAGGGATAGGAGAATTCGGTTCCAGAATTACTCATTTTGTTTTCAACCGAGGTACGATTTACAATCTCTTCCGTAAACCATTGCTCCTTTTTATACACATACACTTCTTTATAATTATGTTCATAATCAAATAGGCCGGGGGCAGAGTCCAGCTACCAGTGACCATATGAATCATGCTTCTGCTAGGGGCAATGTGCCACGCTCAGCCGTGTGTTTTCTTGTGAAACAGATTTCACCGTTTAGGGTAGGAGGGATGGAATCCACCTCCATATGTTTTGCTAAATGTGTCTGTTGAGTACTAGCGATGGGGAATATTAGCTTTGAAATGTGTGAGGCCCCAGAAAAAATGGTTACTATACATGTCTGTCCCTGCTAGTTCGTGCAAGCTATAATTCATCCCTGGCTGCTGTTTTTGTTTTTTGGGTATTTTTACTTAGAAAATGAAGTTGTTAAATATCAGCAGGGGAGTTGACAACTTTGGTCTTTCCACAGGGGCTTAAGGTCAGCTGTCCATTTAACTCTTTACCTTGCTGCAGTGTTGAGATGCTTCATCACCTGGGGCTCCCCCCATGCTCATATACTTAAAGATTCTTGATCAGGAATGCATAAAATCTTACAAGCAATTTTTATATCCTGAGAATTTCCATATTAATTAGCAGAGAGGAAAAATAACCCACCACTTAATACATGTTTTAGCAAGGCATTAGTGTAAACCAGAAGGAAAGAAGGAGAAGAACTATGGTAATTTTTTAAACAGGACAAAAACTGGAGCCCTTTGCACTGGGCACTGCTCTAATTAATATGATGGAGCACCAATCTGTTTAGAAGCAAAACAGGGCCCTTCAAAAATTATAGTTCAGGGAACTTCCTATATCCGCAGAAGTACATGCTTGAAAATCAAAGTTTTGGGTTTTTTAATTATAAATTAACACACACACACCCCAATAATAATCCCAAACTGACAAGAACCTGTGAGCTTTCAGGAAGTAGGGAATGCTGATGGTAGCTGACCCTGACCTTAACTCAGAAAACTTTATTCTCCTGCAGAAAGACTGGACAGCTCCACAAAGCTCCTGTTACAAGCTTAGGGGCTGGAAAGAAAATGGTCTGGTCATCCAGAAGCATCAAGCCAGGCTCTAGGCTAAGTGATTTTTCCAAGGTAAAGGCTGTTAATGACTGGGAGGAACTCAATTCTCAAGTGGATGCAGGCAATTTATCAGGTTATAATTAGGATCTTGGAGCTTTCTCCAGAAGGAATAAGTCAATCAGCATTTTACCCTGGCCTTCTAGAGAATAATGGAGGGGGATGGGGGAATAAACAGAAAAATAAAATAAGATTTACTCATATTAAACATTGCCGTAAACTGGGGGTGGTCAGTATCTCCAATCTTGAGGGGCCAACTCAAGTCTCCAAACACCAGTAGTGCATTTTGCTGTACAGTCTAAATGGCTCACAAATGGCCTGGCTGCCACAATAAATTTCCCACCATCCAGTTGTGAGGGCTTCACAGTTCTAGAGAACATGACCCCAGACACAAATGTGCTCGTGAATTGTGCTGCTGAAATGATCAGGGATGCATGGTTCAAACCAAGCCATCTATTCTCTCTCCTTTTTAATCCCCAGTTCCAATAATGTTGTAAAGACCTGAACATTTGGAAGCAAAACAGGCTATTTAAAGTGTGTATGTGGCGCGTGCTCGAGAGTGCTCATAGAGTTTCAGTTAACACCTTTCCATATAACAAACTTTGTTACACTTAAATGAGACTGAGTTGGAAAAGGGCTTTTTAAAAAGTTGGTGTAGAATTTATGAAAAATGAATCTCCCACTCTGCTGTGCCATTTTTTTCTGCTTCAACTGAATAAAAAGTCAGTGAAAAATGACTGTGGTAGGCAATGATGGCAGAGAGATAAGAACATCATTTATCTTTGCTGATGGATGAAAATACATCACAGGTTGTTGAGGTGGGGGGAATACACAAAGATAGAGTACAATCCAGCCAAAGTTAATTATTTGCATGTCACATTGTTATAAAGATGAGAGATTTAAGCACCTGCCTAATTCTCCCATTGAAATAAATGGAGCTCAAGGTGTTTAGCTTTGGCTGGACCCTGCCCAATGTAGCTTGTGACTTTAGGTGCCTGCATTGAAAGATGGACTAGCACCATGCATTGTCCATCAAGGATCAAACCAGAAGATATTGTGCGCCTGCATAGCTACAGCCCCTAAGATAGGATGAGCAGGGCATCATCATCTCACCCCCACAAAGACTCTCCTCCTGCAAGAGAGGGGAGTGGTTGTGGTCGGGAGCCGGACTCCGCCTCAAGCAGGGGGCGTTAGCCCCCTGCCTCCCACTCACCTGGCTGGCGCCCACGCCCATGGGCAGGCACCCAACCAGGTGCCTGTGAGGGGGCGTGTTTAGCAGTCTTTACCTCAGACTGCCCGGTCCTGGCCCGTTCCTGGTTCACGAGGATGGGTCACCTTTGTTGAGACACCAATTCACAAGGGTACTCCGCAAAGCTATTGATGCCTGTGGTTTATCTTCCCAGGATTATGCTGCACACTCATTCAGGATTGGCGCCACCACAACAGCGGCGCGCTTGGGTCTGCCGGCGGATAGGATTAAAGAAATGGGCTGGTGGAAATCCAATGCTTATAAAGGTTACATTCGCTAGTATGTGCTCTGCTGCATTACCTCTACTTACCTGTCTTTCTCTTTCCTTTATTCTCAGCCGTTCTCAAAAAAAAAGGTGTTTGGATTTGCGGCCACAGTATAGTCCATTGGGCCCGTGTCGGCTAGCTGCAGCCTCACCCCTAATCTTGGGTTGCCACCTGGAGTGCAAGTTTCCTGGTTTTCGAGACGAGGCATGCGTTGGGAAGAGCTTGTGCCATTGCTGAGGGAAAAAGTCGCCATGTTTGGCCCTCCCGACATCCTTATCCATCAATTAGGGGAAAATGACCTTGTTAACAGAAGAAGTGCGGACTTGTTGTGGAACATAAAAAGAGATTTGGATGAGATTGCTGCCTTGTGTCCCGGAACAACGGTGTTCTGGTCCTCCTTCCCGAAGAGAATTGTTTGGCGCGGTGCGCAGAACTGTATGGCCATTGAAAAAATCCATGAAACTCTTAAATCGTGCAATAGCCCGTTGGGTGCGCTTTATGAATGGCCGAGTCATTTCTCACGACCATATCCGGATTGGCGATCAGGCCTTGTACCGGAATGATGGGGTTCATCTTTCAGACCAAGGGAATGACATTTGGTTAAATAGCATCAGCAGCAGCATCAGGGATTGGTTACAGCTGTGAGGGTATTGGCGGCGAGCCTTTTGGGCTCGGGTGGCGGTTAGGCATTGGAATAATGTGTTGTGGTGTGTCGAAGGGCTAGGTGTGGCCATCGCCTGTGCCTTCAATTTTGGGTATTCCGTTAAAGGAATCTGGCGGTCATGTATTCTGTCCGATGCCTGCGTGGCGGGAGGCCATGGCACG